CTGTATCAATGGTAGGAAGTTTAATTTTAGTAGGGTGTTATTTTAAACGATGTCATTTTTGCCCAGGAGAGGAATTATAGCTATGAGCCAGGCCACCATACAGTGGTGTCTATAGGCTTGGTTCCACACCATGTGGCAACTCAGGTATCCTCCCCACCCCTGCTGTGGGTGGAGCTCTAGGCCGTGCACAGGGCTGATCCTACGAGGTACAACTGGTCCTTTCTAGCTCTGCCCTAACCCCTCATCTCCCTGCAACAACGCCCCTCTCCCACTGGCCCAAAAGAGACTGTCCTGTCTGCCCAATGGCAGGCACCATGGTCTACCCGTTACTACCCTGCGTGGCAGGTGAGGGTGGTAGTGGTGGTAAGGAGGAGTTATCATGCTGGCCAACAAGCATCGGCTTGTCTGCGGTGGCTGCAGGGTCCTCTGCAGTCATTTTGGTGTCACTCCCTCTGATACTGTGTGTGGTCCACACCCCTGACCCTGACCCCCTCTCCCCCATGTAATGCACTACTACTATGAAGGTCCCGGCCCTGACTGAAATCCTTCCTCTCTGCTTGCCAAGGCATGAGACAGTCACTGCCCGCTTGTTGTTAAGTGTCCTGCTGATAGATGGTATTTATTCATGGCCACTTCATGGGACCAAGTGGTGCTAACCACAGGTTACAAGGTTCAAACCCATCAGCCATTCTTTGGAAACCCTATACAGGGTTGATATGAGTTGGAACCAACTCAATGGCATTTCACAACAGCAACCACCACCCCATGTGGTTCTTGCCTGCAGTCTGCATGGGGACTTATTCCAGGTCTTTGTCACATAGAGTCACTGGGCGAATTCTAGCAGCCAAACTTTTCATTCATGTCTGAGCGCTTCACCATTGAATCACCAGCATGGGCTTCTTTCTAATATCTTTGGTTTGTTGGATAATAAATTATCTAGGTATTCACATTAACGATTAAGAGTTTTTCCTACAATGAATGGTCTAAGACTAGATATTTTTTAAAGGTGGTAGGTTTGTAAAATAAGTAGCATCAAGGCAGACCAAGTGATTCTTTGCTGAAGGAGAAAAATCTCTGAGCTCTCTGTATCACCACACAGTCCAGAAAGTTATTCTCATATCTGAATAACTTTAACTTTCCAAGAAATTACTCAATGAGACTTTATTAAAGAGGTGGACGCTGTCCAAAAACATAATTAAAATCTTGTTCTAGAACCCCCCCCCCCCCAAGCTCTTTACGGACTGCATTGAAATGTCTCATGCTATTTTGTATTCATCCCTCATTACCCAGATTATGTACCTACTTACATCATTATTATGCATGATTTGGGGAGATTAAAAAAATGAATCTATATGTAAAGGACTAAGATACAGAAATATTGAATCATAAGCCTTGAGGAACTACATGAAAGATTTCCAAAATTATGTCTAAGCAACAGGGGCTTTGCTTTTCAAGGTGACCACATTGCCAGTGTGTTAAATAGGGGTGGGCAGCGTATTCATGTCAGGGAAGTTTGTCTGAGAGGCAGCCTCTCATAGTGCATCTGCATGTGAACCTGGGAGCCAGTCTGTCTTGAATTGAATAGTGGCTTTCCTACTTTGTAGGCATGTAACCTTAGAATGCCTTGATTTCTGGGTGTTTTAGGATTGTGATCTGATCAATGAAAATGATAATGAACAGGTCTCTGGATGGCACAGTGATTTGAAAAGGTTTGCACTGGTCTGCTAACCTAAGGGGTGGCCGTTTGAACCTACCCAGGGACACCACACAACAAAGGCCTGACAATATAATGCCATAAAGATCACAGTCAAGCAATCGTTATGGAGCGATTGGACTCTAACACGTGAGTCAGCATCAACTTGCTGACAGCAGAGTTTGGTTTGGTTTAAGTGTTAAATACTGCTAAAATTATTATGCCAGAATCATGTTAATGTGATGCATCTATGAGTCTATAGATACATATACATTTGCATTTAATCTTAATCCTATTGTAAGATAGATACTAGTTTCCCATTTTATTGGTGAGTGTGTACTGTGCTTACTCTCAGAAGGGCTAATGCTCAAGTCTAGTGCTCAGTGCTCAGACAATCAGTAAACTACCCTTTAATAGTCCTCACCTACTGGAACTAGCTTGACCCCTGATGGACAGAAGCTAAATAAATCATATCTAGACATCAGAGTCTAATAAAACTTTCTAAGATTCGATTTTTGATTTTGCTATTGTTGTTATTGTTATTTGCCAAATGCATATCTTTTTATTTTGTTTGATTTTGGACACATAGTAAAGCTGCATTTCCCTGTCTTCTGTCAACTTAGAGATGGCCATGTGACTTGCTTTGGCTAATGCAAGAGAAAAAGAAGTGTCTTCACATCTGGGAGGAAGCATTTTGGTTGTTTTAGCCGACCTTAAATAATTACAGAACTTCATTGTCATGTCCATTGTCATGAGCTCCCATCACTGGACCTGAGGCATGACTGGGAAATATTCCTTACTTATTTTTAAACCACTGAGATTTTAAATTTCTGTCTGCTGTTGTATCGCTCAGCTTTTCCTTATTGATACAACTACTGAACAAATCAGTAATGTTGAGGAGCCAGTAAGGGATTGCAGTGCTCATTGTAAACAGTAGGAGGTGCCATTCCATGACTGCAAAGAGCTGAACACTCACCTTCTGTGCCCTCCGTTTGTCTGCTCTTTGATTCTGGTGGTAGATCCGACTGAAGTTGGAGACAATCACTGGAACAGGAAGTGCAATGACCAAGACTCCACTCAGCGAACAGATGGAACCAAATATCTTCCCTGCTATGGTTTTGGGTACCATGTCACCGTATCTGCATGAGAGAGAGAAGGTTTGTTTTAAATCACAGAAAGGCATTTCTACATGTTTCAAATGGTTGTCTTTTGTTTTTTGCTATCAGTCAAATACTTTTTAGGATATATCAATTTTGATTTTATGGTGTATGTGTCCACGGCACACATACAACACATCATGTATAACACACACATCTTTAAGAACAAAAAAAAAAGAATTTTATTTTGTGCCTATCAACTAATATCTAGAAAGGGCTTTTTCAAAAGGGAAAGTAATGAAAACTCAATTATTTAATTGCCAAGGAGTCATGGTGTGGTGCCGCAGGATAATGCACTAGACTATAAGGTCAGTTTGAATAGCAAGGTCAGTGGTTCAAACCCACCAGCTGCTCCTAGGAAACCCTAGACAGGGTCACTATGAGTTGGAACTGATTCGATGGTGCTGAACAACAACAAATGGTCAGAAAGGACAGGAAGTGAGTTCATGTCATTAAAATTAGCCTTGAATAATTTCGTGAATACCTCATATAGTTTCTTCTGCTCCTCTCTAATACATTTTTTTTTTTTAAGTCTTTAATGTGAATTGAGTGATAGTTTACATGGGAGAACATCTGTTTTATACTCATCCTATCATATTTTGTTTTATTGCAATGATTACAGTCCCTTTTGTGCATCACCATTCAACAGAATTTGCTTCTATTCCCTTTGTTTTATTTGGATATACACAAAAACACTCAAGAATATATAATCATTTAAACAACCAAAGGGCACATTCTGCAAGCCTGCCTCCTAGCTGCCAGCACACAGCCTTTCCCTTTCCATGAATCTAGAGTCCTCAGCTGCTCTCTCTCTCCATGACCTCATCTCTGCCTCTGTCTCTGGAGTCACTGCTTCTCTGAATAGGGGCCCACATTCTACTTGTGCTCCCTTCCCTTGATGATCCTAGGTTCCTCTGTTCCTGGACTGTAAGATTAACTACTTCCCCTTTATGTTACAAAACTTCTACTTTTACAA